GAATAAGTGACTTTCTAGGAAGGCCAGACTTCACCCATACCACTTTCTATGCTGGGATCGTCGATGAAGCAAGGTTGTATTTGCTATAGCAATCGACTACACTACTTATTTTCAGCTTATAATTAGGTTTACACTGCACTGCCCCAAATTGGTTTTGAGCCATGGTACTCTCGAAAAATGAGTTGAGACTATTAGCAGGTCTTGTCAGACAAATTGGGTCATATTAGCCTGATTTCATACTCACATGACATGGTTTAGAAACGCGGCGAAGTGGGGTCAAAATTTCAGCTGAAATGAGATGAAAACATCTAAAGACTGCTATTATGAATATACAACAAAAATAATAAGCATCATTATTATTATGCTGCTGCTGCTGCTGGTAATGCGGATGATGATGGTGTTGTTGGCGGTTGTAGTTTGCTAGTGCGTGGCATCGTCATCGCAAACTAGTGAAATGAGGGGATCACCAAGTTCTACTCCTCAACGGGCAACCATTTTCTATTCGACTTTATGACATTGGGTCTGACGATATGTCCGGTTGGACTTCTCTCAACATCAACTCCAGCATACAACCAGCCACAACGTCTAGTCTCTGCGGCAGTGAAGGCTGCTTTTTTCTGTATCACCGCCCCTCCCCCCCGACAGGTCCAGGACGTCATTTACGCCGGACTCACTCCCGCCTTTACGTGTCAACCGAAGACCCACGAGCACAGGTTCGACTCAGTTACGAGGGAAGTTGGCTCGACCGGTCTCTGTGTCTAGAAGCCCGGAGCGGGAGGACGCGTTAACGGACTTTGGGTCACCAGAATGCAATGATTACTATTTCGTCTCAGCTCCGTGTTTTATTTTGGTTACCGAGGCCAGATTATCACGTACTAGGAGGCGCGAGAGGCCACACACACACACACACACACACATGCACATGCAGCAAACTCTCCTGTCCAAAGGGGTGAGGTCGAATGGTTTATAGCCGGATCCACAGTCTGCCTCGTTGCTACACCGACAACAAGTTCACATCATCCCATGCGTCACCCCATTTCCCTCTTAGCAGCTATTACTTTCAGGAAATAAGATGACATGTGTGTGTGTGTGTGTGCCCGTTATCAATCAACACTAAT